CAAAATCATCCTCTTAATCATCAACAAATCCAGGATCTGAAATTACATTCTCCAATTCTTTAGCTTTTTCATCATTGAAGCCCAGTGCAGCCAATACCTTATAACCTGGTGATCCTTGTTGTGACCACACTCCAAGGAGCACATGAGTAGTTGTAATCTCCCTACTGTCACCTGCATTTCCAATAATACCGATAATCAAGAACATTTCCAGTCTCTTCTCCCCAAACAAATAAACCAGTTGATCTTGAAGTGATGATGTTTTCTATCACATGGTTTCATTTGACCATATGAGTAGCATATTTTATCTCTTTGCAATTCCAGAGAGAGAAACGCTAGGTGTTTTGAGGATAAAAGGAACATTATTCAAGAGATCAAGATGAGAAGCATATAAAAAGTGCTTAATTAAAATAACGGAAAAGGGTCAAAATTACCCTCAAACTATTCAAAATAGAGCAAATATACCATCCGTTTCATTTTTGGCTCAAAAATACCCTTGCCGTTAACATAAGAGACCACAAATAACCTCCAACTTAACAGCCCCGTTAACCTCATGACATAGCATCTGATGTGGAAAAATAAAGCCACATGGTTCAACACGTAAGCGTCCTACATGGAATAAAGATCCACATGACTGCCACCTAAGCTACCCGTGTCCATTAACCCTTTACCCACTAAATGGACCGACCCGTTCACATTCATAGCCTTCATCATCTCCAAAACTAAACGCAGATGCATCTGCTGCAACGGCTTTAATATCACTTGACCCGAGATTGGGAATAGCAGCTCTCTCAACTGTTTCACTCTTGATCTCGCTTGCGCCATTATTGGGGTCGCTGTTTCTAAGAGAAAGTTGTTCAGCATTATGAGTTAGATTGGCAATCTGCTCCTTTTGGCAGCCATAATCAACACCTGCAGCAGCCAGAATCTCAATTCTTTACCCTTTAATTGGGAACGGGTCGGTCTATTTAGTGGGATGGGCAAAGGGTTAATGGGCATGGGTAGCTTAGGTGGCAGTCGTGTAGATCTTTAGGTGTTGAGCCATGTGGCTTATTTTTTCCACATCAGATGCCACGTCATGAGGTTAACGGGGCTGTTAAGTTGGAGGGTATTTGTGGTCTCTTATGTTAACGGCAAGGGTATTTTTGAGCCAAAAATGAAATGAAGGGTATATTTGCTCTATTTATAGTTTGAGGGTAGTTTTGACCCTTTTTCGTTAAAATAATTATTGGAAAGAGATTCAGATATTATAGAATCCAAAACATCCCCTTGTGAGCTAGCTTTTGGATTGAGTTAGGCTAAAGGGTCAGATCTTCACAAAACTAATCCGTTTTTATATGTGAGACCATCTGATTTATACAGGGTTCAAATAGTAATGACATATATATCAGCCAAAAATATATATATATATGAAGTAACATCGGAAAACTAAGTTGATAGATCTAAATTTTGAGTAGCTATATGAATTTGAATAATTGAAACTATGAAAGTTGCATGAGGAGATATCAATTGAATTGTTTGAGACTATGTTGCTAGGACTCTCCAAACATATTGATAGGTGCGTGTCGGATCCTTCAAAAGTGGTGCATTTTTGAAGGATCTGACACGGGTGAGGCATCATTTTTGGAGAATCTAAGCAAACACATGTTTGAGATATCCCAAAACAGAAAGTGATAAAACTCTGATGGCAATTTTTCCTCTCATGAGCAAGCTTTTAAAACCATACTAGATTACTTTAACTTGATTGTAGTCTGAAAAAGTTTCTGTTTTGGATTTGGACCAAGTTAGCCACAACATAAGTAGGTAGGAACCATACAAGCCGAGGAAGTTGCCATCCGAATTTAATTGGACTGATGCAATACATGACCATATATGACCACGGCCCACGGCCATGTATGGACAAGTTTGAGGTATAGTATGTTTGGCTAAGTGACACAGTTATACTCCTAAAATCGGTACAATCAAGCAAGCACTTGAATTTCAAATTTGCTTCAGCAAGCACCTTCATGCTGGTAGATCTTGTGAAGTCAAAGATCATTCCTCCGCGTGATGCATTTAAATATTTTCCATGGTTCAAACAGGAATTTTAGAGATACTTGTGACGGCAGAGAGATGCATCAACCAACAACATGTGTGTGTGTAAAATTGAGTGGGATATACATACCGGATTTGAGTTTTTCATCAAAGGCCCAATCAAGAGCCTTTTGCGCATCTTCAGTCAAAGGAGGTTCCTTGGGACTGCAATAGTAGAAGTCCCCTTTTCCAACTATTTTGATAGTTTCTTCACGAAATTTCAAGAGAGTAATACTGTTCGCCCTCAAATATTTTGAAGCAAAATTCGTCCCTGCGATGTTGGAATGAAATAAATGCTCTAACATGACTTACTACAAGTAGCAGAACCAGTATTCATGCAAGCTATTTCACCAAAATGATTAAAGCAGCTTAAATCACGGGGGAAGTGTAAGTTAGAGATATAAACAGAATCTACATACAAGGTCTTTAGTATGCCAACATACTATTGAATGACCTGTTCTAAAAGTAAACTATCTTTCTTCTTCTTTTATCTCTCAAATAATACAGATATGCAGTCAAAATCTCTAACAGTTGTTTTTGTCTATATATCGAAATGATGTTCTTGGTGCAGAGAGTTCCTAATACACATAAGCTAAAGTCAACAGAATGACATTTCCCATCAACTTACAAGTGTTGTGTACCGACTTTTGTGTGCCACGTTGTTCCAAACATAAACTGAAGTGTAGAAAAATTCTTTCCAATGAAGTTGCAACTACTGTTTCATATACCGGTCAATTTACTTTAGGGTCCTCTAAAGAGCACTAACATCAGAAGCCAGCCACAGCACATATAGTTCAACCCAAGAGCCTCTCACCCTAACCTAATTCTTTCACGTATTGAAAAACTATGTACATATCACAATGTTTTAGTAGCAATGTAAAATGGATTTGGTAACTACATAATGTTGGGTAAGTTCGGTAAGTTTTCAGATTTGACAAGAATAAAGATGTGTTCTATATATGCAAAAAGTGAAACAACTCTTCTCATTAATATCTCTAGCAAAAACTCCATTGTTAAGCCACATTCTTACATTAAAGAATGCCCGCACCAAGAAATTATCTTCTGTCTATTGTTTATTCAAATGCTAGTTTAAGTTATTAGCATCACAAGTAACAAAGCAGTAAGAGTTCCAACGCGTTTACAGGATCAAACATAGTATCTCTATATGTATCTCTACCAAAAACAACAAAATTTTTCTACGCAAAGTGAAAGAAACAACAAACCTTCAATCAACATCCCCAGGATAAGAGCTTCTGTTCCAGTAGTAGCATATTTAAGTTTTCTTGCTTCCAGTTCAGCCATGGTAAATGATTTTACCGCCTTCGCCGACCATCTAAAATTTCACTCACCCAATCAAGATACCTCAAAACACATTGAATTACCAACTAATGAACAACAACAAATCAAACAACAACCAATATCCCAAAACTCTCCTCCTCCTTTTCTTGTGCACTGAAACAAATAAAACAAGAACTAAAAGGAAAACACTCACTTAGGAATTTTCTCTATAGGTACTGTAGGCTCCGGCTTCCTGCAATAACAAAATGAAACAAAACTGTCATCTTTATAGCTTAGAAGCTAAAATTTCGATTAACCCAGAAATAATACAATCAATCAATCCCAAGACAATTGGGATCAGCTATATGAGTTCTCTATATCCATTCGGGTCCATAAAAAACACTTTAAAAATGGATAAAACTGCAAGGATAAATAAGGGGCAAGTGTGAGAACTGACCCACGGGGAAGGACGAAGGAGACATCTGCTCTAATGGTGCACTGTTTTGAAAGAAATTGTTTAAAATTCTTGGACTGAAGAGAGAATTTGATTGGAGTACCAAGCCATTGACACTGCAGATTTTTCGGTTCCAATGGGTTTTTGGTCCAGAGAAATGAATCGGGTCCTCTGCAATTCAGCTGGTTGATGCTCTTAGAAGTTGCTGCCACTGTGGAGAGAGCTTGAACAGCCATTTTTGCCGTAAAACTCAGCTCCAATTTGAGAAAATGGGTTGAAAATTGGACCTTTCTGGTTGAGAAGATGATAAGAAACGACAGCGTTACGTTACCTCAGCCTTTTTTCATGTAATATGGGCTTAAGCAAGTTCGGCCTATATAATATTAGTTGGGCTTAAGCCAATCCAACTCATTATGTTTATGGGTCGGACTCGCTTAAGCCCATAAAAAACACGAAATTCTAGGTGCACCGTGATTTGAAATGTGACTTTCTGATTGTAATACAGGTACGTTGTGAAAGGGTGTTATAGTGAGTTAGAGGTAAAACCTCACTATGTAAAAAAAAAAAAAAGTATACATGTTGTAGCTCATTCGTCAATAATTTTGCTTAAGCCCATAAGAAACACGGAATATTAAGTGCACCGTGATTTGAAATGTGACTTTCTACGAAATTCGAGGTGCACCGTGATCTGAAATGTGACTTTCTGATTGTAATACAGATACGTCGTGGAGGACTGTAGGTGTTATAGTGAGCGAGAGCGTAACCTCTCAATATGTAAAAAAAATATATACATGGTGTAGCTCCTCCGCGAATAAATTCAACAGAGAGAGAACTCAGTTTGCCGCTTGAATAGGTCCATCAATCCCTTTATGAACTTAAACAAGTGTCCTAAAATCTAATTTTCTGATAACTTTAGTGTAATTTTCTTGTTTTAGTTGATGATGCATATTTTATATTCAACTTCAACCAATTCGAACTTAATTCTATTAAGATCCAAACATATGCTCCATAAATTTTATTTGTTTTCAACTCTTTCAAGTATCAGTGAGAGAATTAGATTTAGAATTAAAGTTAAAACAAGATGCAGTTGAATAAAAATATGCATTTTCACTAAACACTTAAAAGAGTTGAAAATGGTTTAACATAGAAAGCCACTAATTCTATAGTCTTAACAAACAGTACAACTATATGCTGCAAGTAAACAAGGTGGTAAGACCAAAACTTTCCTCATTATCTACAGAAAGTAGCAATGTTTAATCAAAGCATATTTATATGTCTTGTCACTCTCAAGCACTCATTCTTCAAATACTCAGACCTAATTCAGTTTTACCCATAATTGGGTTATTCAATTATGTACAATCATGGTCTCAACAATATGAGACAAAACCCTTGAACGAGTGCAGTGATTGCTCCCTCTGTGTATGTCAGGTATGTTAGTCTCCTGCTTTTGAACCATCCTTGCAGTGGTGCGCGATCTGTGCAGTAAATAAAACCAAAGTGACAAATGATTGTCGATTGATCTCCGCTATAAGGTGATGTGCAGATAATAGCCTATACAGCGATAAAGATTCTCGATGGATGCAAATGACCTTCTTGGTCATTAAAGAATCTCTGAGATCCCCTTTACTTAGTTTCTTTCACCTGTCCAGACAAAAATAACAAAGCAGAAACTCACTGTAGCAACAGCTCCTCGTCTCTCTGTAGTTCCTTGAGCCGCCTTTTTGCATATACAGTGATCAGCACTGTTGTAACAAACGTGAAACTAAATCCAAGAACATTAAGAATAATCTGTGGAGCTGATAAAAAACGTTGCTCTTGCGAGGCATTTGCAAGAGTCTTTATCAGGATGCCACTGCAGAAAGAGTTGAAAGTAAAGGTATTCAGCAAGTTGAAGTTTTCTTAATCAGTAAGTAGGACACTATTTTAAAAGAATAAGACCAGACGAGAGGAAGTTTTAATAATGACAAGTAAACATCTGTCAAAATGTGGCAGGCAGCATACACCAAATGAAACCCTCCTAAAACTAGGAAAAATCTTGCTTTGTGTTCAGTTTGCATTCTCCCCGGAGAATGACCCACGGAACCCTTCCGATCCAATGGCACTCCTGCCACAACGGTCCTCCAAAACAACAGTGCAAAAGGAACCAAAACCCAAATAATCACAGACAAGCAGAGTACTAAACATTGAAGGCAATAAAACTTGTGCAATTAGAAATATGGAAATAGAATCAACAACCATAAATAAGAAAAATCAGGAGAAGACACAAATCGATTGCTGTTCTTTTTCTTCCTAAAAGCACGTAATCGTGGACTACAATTACCTTGAAAGAAATTAACTAGTAAAAACAGAAATTCCTCGTTATTTAATAGAATAGGTAAGCCAAATGATTCCGAGTCACAAGTTACTTCTTTGCCTTCCCACTTTAAGTATGGAACTAGTGCAAATATAATAGTTGAAATGAAGAACCATTATTGTTAATGCGAGTCCTCGACTCCTTTCATATAACTATTGGTGAAGAGTTTTATGGGTTTTGAAATCACTATCAAGTGTTTAAATTAGATGTATAAACTTTAGCTTCGGCCACGAAGCACAAATCTTATTACTATATTATATTTTACTATCAAGTTGAATTCCACAATAACTTTTCTTGAGATATAACTTAATGATTTATGCTTGTCTCCAGGTGAGCATAAACCTATTTTGTTCATGTTTGATACATAAAAGTTTAAATATTGTCCACAATTAGTTAATTCTGTGTCAGAGAAATACAACAGCAAGAGCATGACAGTTACTTAGCTGAAAGAATGAAATCTTAGTGTAGCATTGCACAATACTGAGTCCCCCCAAAACAGAGATAATATAATTGGACAAGGAAGCAAGAAAAAATAGCTTTTTCTGCATTTGAGAATAAGGTTTCTCAAATATCCTGCAATGACCTTCACTTATAGAGAGCATATTTAACTAAGTTCGAAAAAAAATGTCAGGTTGTGCATCTAAGTTCAAAATTATAGGCAACCAGAAGCATGGCAAGGGGAAAAGAGGAAAGGAGAGCTAAAGAACTTTTCCACCAGCATTGAACAAAGTTATGCTGACACATCAACCAAATTGCTTTTGTACTTCAAAACACCTCAAACATTAACCAGGATCATAACATAACTTGGAGAAGAACAATTAACCTTTATACCCACATACATATTATCCCTTTCCGAATCGGCTAGTTGTGAGAAGATGTTAACGGCCGAGAATTTGAAAAAGAGGAAGATTACATGTCAGTTGGTGCATCAGGTTTAAAAGCTCGGGAGAAGGTATGAACCACCTACTTCTAGATTGCTGGATAGTGTCTCGCTTCTGATGGAAACACTGTTAGGGTTTGGTCGAGTCATAATGCCAGGCACGGTTAAAGAAGCCATGTTCAGATGGCTAATTAAAAGATGGAAGAAATCTGCAGGACATGGGATGTTGCTCTCATGGCACTTAAGTGGACCGTGGGGAGAAATATGATAGCTTTTGATGGAATAGAGAAGATTTTTACTCACTGAGAAGTAGATTATTATCCCTTATCTTTTTTAGTGCACCCACAACAACAACAACATACACAGTGCAAGTGCGGTTGGAGGAGGGTAGAGTGTAATCCCACAAAGGTTGCATTATAATCTTTAGAAACCAGAGGTTTGAGGAGAGGGAGGGATGCAGACATAGAGGAATGGAGAGCAGGAACTGCCCACCCCTAATAGGTAATTCATCAACAGATATTGCTGTCACAAGAAATACACCCAGCAAGTCCATTTTTCATACACAAGAAACGAAAGAGAATTCTTACGTGTAAATTGTAACAAATATTTCTGGAACCATGCCGATGAGTGTCCCCAGCAAATAAGGACCGTACTTGACACCGGTTGCCATTGCACAGTAATTAAAGACTATGTACGGGAAAGGGGAAATCCTGATTAATGTGACAGCTCGGGCCTGATTAAACCAATTCCCTTCACCAGCTAGTCTTATAACAGAAGCATTCTTGGGATTTCTTTCTATCAAGCTCTACAGGAGAAAACAGAAAGAGTATTTATTTATTTAAGTCAATAATCAAAATGAACAGTCCAATCAGATGGTGAAAAGTAATTAAGTACATACTTGGATTTTGTGATGGAAAAGATGACCTATGAAATAAGGAAGAGATACACCAATAGGAACTGCTGCAATGATAAGTAGAAAACCAAAACCATATCCGAACGTCATCCCAGCTACCCACATGGAGGGAGAGGACGGTAAAAGCAGGGTGGGGAATAGTGCCACAGAAGCATAAACTAGAACTGCTAGTACTGGAGAACTGAATGTCCTGGTTTCCCAATTCAGCATTGGAATAATCTCCTGAAATATGAAAAACAACAGTCAGAGATTGATATGATTCAGAATCACAAAACCATTGTGATTTGCATTACAACATGTGTGGAAAAATTAGAATTACCAGATAGAAATACCAAAATAGTATGATGAATGGTGTTAGCAGTCAATCCATTAATAAACTACCCTTAGTACTCCATAAGCATCCCATCTTATAAAGGTCAATTTCATTCCAACGTTAAATGAATGGTTAACACTGTGACTCCTAAAATTATTAAGTTAGCAGCATTGAGCTCAGCTGCAGCTTCACAACAACTCTTCCACCTAAAGTACTAAGTTTAGTAAGTACTCAAAATCCAAGTCACTTCACAAAATCAGCATATACTAATGGGATCGGTTTAAGTAGCTCAGACTTCCTCCATAAGCCAAAATCAGTAGCCTTTAACAGAATAAAGACTAGTTGTTGATGAAAGACTATCACACATTACAATCTCCAGTTTTGCTGAAGCATCAATAAACTCACACTCAAATTTATCAATCTCCTATCTCTTAAAAGCATGAATGAATGCACTTATAGAGCAAGCAAAACAGCTAAAATGAAGTGCTCTCTCAAATATTCACTAGCAGCTATAAAGAATTCCACTTCCTCACATGCAACAAATACATTATATAATTTAATTGGACATACATTCCCAAAAAAAAGATCATCTTTTTACAAGAAAAAACAAAAATCTTGCTCAAACAGACCTTATCCATGAAGAAGGGTCCAACCCATTTGAGAAACACAGCAGCCAATACTCCCACAAAAATAAGAACAAGTACCAGCTTAGCCCACCACCAAAGAGACCAACATCTGCTATTCCCTTCATAGCTAAGCTCAGAAGACGAAGCACTCATACAACCCGCAACAAAACGATTATCCTCCCCCAAATCATCACCACCACCTAATTTCACATAATCACCCTTCAGATCTTCCTTCGCCAACCCCAACAACGGCGCTGGCATCACCACCACTAACCCTTCCTCTTCATCGTTCCCAGTAAAAGTCATCACCACACAAAATCAGCAATCCAATTACAAATTATAAAAATCCAAAAAAAACCAGATGGGTTTTCCCTAATTAATCAAGAATTTGTTTACAATTCCAATCAAAATCCAAAACCCAGATGGGTTTTCCCCTAAATAACCGTTAAACGTATTGAATAGCTCAACCCCTTTGTGGAAAAAAGCAATTTAAGCCCTAATAAAGATGGTAAGAAGCCGAAAAAGTGGGGGGATTGTGAAGAATTTTGAACATTTCCGTCTACAGACACATTACATACAAAGATTAAACAGATAAATTGGATGCTGTGTGATGAGTGAATGATGATGAAGAAGAGAAAATGGTCGATGAGAAGAGAAGCAATCAATAATGTACTAGTAACGAACACAAAAAAATAAAAAGGGTTTAATATATTATTTTAATCAACCGAATTTTTCTTTATTTATTAATTTACAACAACCGATATTTTTGTTTAAAAAAATTATTATTATGCTTACTCCATTGTCAGCCTTTTCCCGTTCTTTCAAGGAAATGACAATATTGCCCTTAACCAAAACTTCTATATTTTGACAATCTCGAGTTCAGTGATCATATGATATATTTCTATTTTAATAACGCGCGAGAAGGTAGTGAAGTTCAGTTCATGAGATTGTAGTGTAGCGGATTGGAGCCACCGTGTTTCTTATTGAATCTTGTTGGTGCCACCTAAATGGTAGGTACTAGGTAGGCATTAGATGTGTGACATTTATAGTTATCGTTTGTACATCTGTCTCTAATAGAAGAATGAGTAATTTGTTCCTCTTGTCGATCGTGACATGACGTTAGATGGGAATTTACTCACGTAATAAATTCCTCATGTTATTTGTCTGATAACAATATCTATTTTTTTACTACTTTGAGGCATTTCACATGAACTCATAAAGGGGCAAGATCGTCATTTGCTTTACTTCCTTTTGACTTCCATTAGTTTGATACACTTATATTTTTTCAACTTTAAAAGTATTAATTTGATGGTGGACCCCACCACTTGTTATTAATATTAGTAATATATTCGTATAATCCTAAAAATGCTATTATCACTTGCTTTAAGCTACACTTAACGACGTCGTATAAGAAAATGATACTGACACGTGTGATCTAACGTAATGCCGCGTAGCCGGTGGTATAGGACACGTGGCATAATTTCGATCATTTATGCGTTACAGCAAAGATACAAGTGTGCTTAACGGGAAGTTTGGGTTTGGGCTTTACAATAATAGTGGGCCCCCACATGGGCCCATCGGGCTTTAAGAAAGGTGAAGTGACTTCTGTTTTTTTTTTAATTTTTTCTTTTTGTCGTGGCGTCACCGCTACGACTGGAATTTCGTATAGAGTTTTAAATATATTATGTTTATTTATTTGGTGTTCGTTATTTATATAGCAAATCGACTTATTTGGATTCATCATATACATAAGATCCATCATAGAGAAGCATTTCGTACTAAGAATTTTCATACTAAACACGCAAAATTGAGACGTCTGGTTTAAAAAAAATTATATTCAATATATCATATTCTTGGATGATCGTGTAGAGTTTCCTACTTCGGACTACAGCAGAATAGTGTTACTATCTCAATCCAATTTTAATTGTCATAATGTTCTTTTTTAGGGTTAAATTATAAAAAAATTTAACTAGCATTTTATAATGTATTTTTCGTCATATTGGTATCCAAAAAAAATGAAATTTATAGTACTTTTCGTATAATTTTTGAATATGTAAATGTTTTGTTTAAAATATCTTATTAAGGTAATTTAATTTAACTTTGAAAATTAATTATATTAACTTTCGAAAAGCGCAACATGACAGATAAAAGTAGATGGAGGGAGTATTTACTCCCTCCGTCCAATAATAGTTGTGTACTATACTAAACATAGTTGTCCAACAATAGTTGTCTATTATATTAAACATAGTTGTCCAACAATACTTGTTCAATTTAAAAAATCAAAAAATAATTTACATTTCTCTTGCTATTAAATATTACTATTCATTATTTAACACATTTTTCAAAACATTAAATTTAATAAAGTCAAAGGATAATATAGTAATATTACTCCTATTATTTGCTGTATAATTTCTTGAGGAGTGTGCTAAGTCAATAATGGACAACTATGTCTTGATAGAGGAGTATAAGAGGTTTTTTTTTTGTTTTTCACTCTATGTTCGGAGCCTACATTGGAGTCCCGATTAAATTCGAATCGCGCACTGTATGGTCCATTTAATGATGGAGCTCCCAACAAGATTTTCTTCATACCCGAAGCTCGAATCTGAGACTTCTGATTAAGTGTGAAGCACGGGAAGCGTAAGAGTTAGTAACTGGATAAACGTGAAGTTTACTGGAAATTGTGCCTAATATCTTATAAGGTCGAATGAGAAGTTGACACGTATAAAGAGCTGAATTTTGGTGGGCCAGTGTGACAGAAAAGCATACGGCTTAAACAAGCGCGGAATAATTAGGTAATTTGATAAGATTAGTAATCTTATCAAATATATTTTCCGTAACACTAATAAGTATACATTAATTAATTAATTAATTATAGAGTAATAAAGTACTGTTATGTTACTTTGAAAATAGGGGGGAGGGGTAATCTAGACATTCTAATAAAAGCTTTTTTCCCGATTAAGTAAATGGTTATTTTATAACTTTAGACTAGATTAACCCTTTTAATTTAGTCGATCTTACTATGTATTTTAATTTTTGTTTAACTTTTTTCATTTATTAATATAAAAACGACATTATATTTAGTAAAGTATTAAATTCAAAATCTTAATTAGTTGTCTAGATCATAAAACTCAAATATTTTTATATATTAATTCAAAACTAGTTAAGATTTAAGAATCTTTTTATATTTTTAAGGCTATGAAAGATAAGGAGTACAATTAAAAAAGAGTGAATTATTATTCTTATTTTTCAATTTAATGATACTTGACATAAAAAAGGTGGATGAATTATTGGCGATAATTATGGAAAGGAATATGTTTGGAAGGGAATAATCTGGCAATAACAAACACACTTTAAATTATTATTGTGTAAGAAAACACAAAGAGAATAAATGACAACAAAATTAGTTGTCTATTTATATTTGTATTTGTATTTCCTTTTCTCTCTCTTAATTGGCAAACCAACCCAAGGAAAACATGAGGAGACTATTGATATTGAAAGCCTTGGATTAAATGGATTTTTATATTGTTTGATTCATAAGATAAAGGTGGAATATCAGTCATAAAATTTAAGATTGAATTTTTATTTAATTAAAGGTATAAATGTATTTACTTAATTCTAAATATCTCATTTTATCTTATTAAATTATGCATTATTTTACTTCACCTCTTAGATAGGATAAATTAATTTAAAAATTATAATCTTAATGATAATTCTAAAATATCTGAATTCACCATCCCAATTTGAACTCTAATGTGGAAACTATTTTTTTAAAACTTAAATCTAAGAAACTAAAGTTTCTTAAATATCTAGTACTTGAGTATTTGAAACACCACAAATAGAAAAGATTATTTTTGTTTTTTTCTCCTTTGATAAAGATTGATGATATTTCTGAATTTGTTGGTATATTGAATACTGAAAAAATCTGTGGAAAATCAGCTTAAGTTGATTGTACTTATAAGTTGTTCAATTCATGTCAATTTCATACATGAATGCCTTAATTTCACTAAATAATGTTTACAAAATTAAAAATTGCTATAATAGATATTCATGTTTTCTAATAATTCCCAAATACTTAAATATTTGATTTTTTCTTTTGGTGCTTGACTATTTTGAATTCGCTCGCATCGGACTTACTTAAAAACTAGGAGAATCATTAACAATTATTTATAGAGTCGAAACGTGTTTAATTAAGAGAGAAACAATTTTGTCCGCACCACCATGGTGCTAAATATTTGAATTCAAAGAATAACACTATCAAATAAATTAACAATTTCTTTGATTTATGACTTATCTATACCATCTTCAGTTCTTCTTCACTTGTAACTCCAACAACCAGCTATGGCAGTTTCTACACTAATTTCTATCCCAAAATTGCCCCTTTTACCCCAAACAAACAGAACCCAATTTCTCCATTTTGCAAAGCAAAGGTCCCAATTTTCTGCCCCCATTGAATGCAGCTCATCTCAGAACTTGAAAAATGCAGCTACAGTTTTGGGGGTCACTGGAATTGCTTTGGCCACATTCATGGTGGGACCTGCTACAGCATCTGCTTCTGAAATAGCTATAATGGGTTCTTCTTTACAGTTTAATGAACCCTCTAATGCTCTCTCCTTACCCACTTGGGCTATTCATGTTTCCAGTGTTGTTGAATGGTATTTACTCTGCAATACACCATTGTTTCTAAGTTCTAGTTTGTTTTTCAATTTATTTTGCATGAGTAGCAGAAAGATTGCAACTTTAGGTTTTTTTTGGTATGGGGATGGATAGACAAAGTTATTCCATGGATTGGGTATATATGTGATAACTTATCCCGTCATTGTAGTATGAATGTTGGAATAAATAAGTTCGGGACTAAATACCCCTAACAAAATGCTGATTATCCCTTATCCCTTGTACCAAATGACCCCTTAGGTGTGTTTGATATCTGACAGTTTTCTTGCTTATTTTCTGGTGTTTGGACTTTGGTATGTAAGCAGAAAAATATTACATTTTAAAAAAGTTCATATATAATCTAAGGCAAACAGCCAAACACTATAGGGGTGGGGGTGGGGAGGTGGAGGCGAGGGTGAAGTGTGTTGGAGGGCATGGATGGAGCTAGGTATACCAAAGGGTGGTCACATTGCCGGAAAATTAGTCAAATATTATCTTTTATACATGTACATATTCAATTTGGAACATTCTTAACAAAAGTCCTAACTTTGCCATTATTGGAGAGTGGGGAGGAGACCATCCGTGTCGAATGCTACTCATAGAACTTGTTTTTCCTACTTCTAGTTCTACCGAAGTTCAAGAACGTATTTTCCTAGAGAAACATTTTCCAAAAATTTTGACCAACTAAACATGTAAAAATTGGAAAACATGTTCTCCTCTGAACCAGACGCACCCGTACAAGTTAGAACCGACAGAAAAGAAAAATAGTGCAAAATAAATTAGGACAAGGGAGTATGTTTTTTGTGCTTAATGAAATGACTTCTAATACTTTGTTTAATAGGGTTACTGCAATGGCTCTGGTTTGGCAATATGCGGAGAAGTCTGGAAATGATTCTTGGAAGGGACTCTCTTGGGGCATGGTGAGTAATGTGGTGCATGTTGATTCAATAACATGCATTTAGTCGTAACTCGTAACTTCAGTTAAGTTTTGTGCTTTTTACTCTAAAATGTTCCGTATGTACCATTAATTGGCCAATGAGGGCACCACAAAAGGTTAGGCCAAGGTATTGTAACAAAAAGAATCACAGGTTCAATTCTCACCCGCAAAGTTCCTGGCTTTTCTCCAATTTATGTTACTTCTCCCCCTAAATGTGCTAGTAGTATGAAATTTGGTTGCTAAGACTATTTGTGGGTTATTGTTAAAATTGTCAATGGCATGCATGTATTCATTGATATTCATGTGTTTGTCTCAGTATATACACTTATACATAACTATAATTTATAAAGCCATAGTACAGATATGTAGGTTAAGAGAGGTGGCTCTTTGACGGTATAGGGAATAATTTGGGGTTTATTGAGTTGAAGAAAGAGTCAGAGGAAGGGGTGGCATTTGAGATGCTCACATTTTTTGCTCCATACTTACTGAAACTTCATGTATGTTTGTCAAAACACAAATACTATTACTATTTCCCTATAGATTTAAACATAATTGAAGGGACTAGGTGAGTCAGAAGAAGGGGTGGCATTTGAGATGCTCACAGTTTTTGCTCCATACTTACTGAAACTTCATGTATGTTTGTCAAAACACAAATACTATTACTATTTCCCTATAGATTTAAACATAATTGAAGGGACTAGGTGAGTCAGAAGAAGGGGTGGCATTTGAGATGCTCACAGTTTTTGCTCCATACTTACTGAAACTTCATGTATGTTTGTCAAAACACAAATACTATTACTATTTCCCTATAGATTTAAACATTATTGAAGGGACTAGGCGAGGCCATTGTGTGTTATTTGAGCAGCTAGTTAAGTCTCTGGATATAAAAGCTCTTCTGTAGTGAAATTGTTGCTACAAGAAAGTTTTAGTGTCACATATTTTCTATATTTTAATGATTAGTATATTTGTCTTTTGATGAGTAGTATGCTTTGAACCGACAAATTAGGTTATACTAAGTGTTTGTATCTTAACAATATGGTTAACTCTCAAACTAGATCGAGCAGCCAGATTTCCATCCTAAGTTAAAGGTTGAATGTGCTCAATCATATTCTAGCGAAAACAGGAAATTAAGCTTCTCTTTCAACTTCAGGCTGGATATGCTTGGTCATACTCTAGTGAAAGAAGGAAATTAACCCTCTCTTTCCACTTCTTAACTTCTATTCTTTTTGTGAAGAACTACTTTCTTGAACTTGCTTAGCCATGTTGTTTAACGTGACATTTGTCGAGTAGGAACACTTTCTGATGAGCCAGATAACTGGACAGTCAGTGACCTGGGAGAGTGGGAGTTGGCCTCTTTCATCCTTTCTTTTTGTGAAATTTTGGAACATTCATCTAAATCGCTGTTGAAATCAACTGTGGTAATAGGTGATGAACATATACAGAGTCCATTGGAAATTAAAAATATTCCAAGCAGGGGACATGGTTAAGTGGTTATCGAACCTGAAACTGTCTTGATGCATGTCAGTTCCTTTTGAAAAAATTAGAGCTTTCTTTAAAGTAACTAGGTAACCGATGTATTGTAGACCAGTCTTTAAAAAAAATGAAGTCCTTACAGTTATTTAATGAGATGCAAGTAAGGTAACCTCGCAATCAATCATGTTATATGTCATGGAAAAGTGTCAATTAGGTGAGATTCTTGAAACTAACATAGTGACGGAGCTATGAACCCAGTTACTATCACCTTGAGGTCGATAAAGGAACCGAATTCAAATTTTAGATCCACCTTGTGATTACTTACTTTTCCATGTATCTAATAAAAAATTTGAATAAAATAAGAGAAATATAACTATAGAGAAGTTTGATGCACTAAGGGATGGATGGCTCATTTTAAATTCCTAAAGTATGTCTGATGGGAAATGATAATTACTTGTGATCCTCCTGGTGCTTCCAACAGCTCCATGTTTGTACTCTAAAACTTTAAAGGAATTAACAGTCATAACTGACTTTTTTTTATCAGGTAAAGTAGAAGTTTCATTAAGTTCGCATCCAGTGGATGCTGGAATTACATCAGTGAGCAAAAAGAAGTTTGGCTCCTTTACGGTGAATTTCCTTAATCGTCATAATTGACATGTAACTGCTGTTGTTTAAGCTAATGGGGAAGTGCTCTGGAAACAATACATCCCATATCCCCTTCTCTAATAGTTTAAGAGTTTAAGCTTTTAGATGAGGTGGTCACACGATATAACACTCTTATCCCATTTCCTCTTTTGGGAGAAATGAAATGATATCTAGGCTCTGGAGGTTTCGGAGTCTTGGTTAAAAGGTTACCACATGCTATTGGTATTGGTTTCTCTTCTTTTTCCCAGTGTTTTCCCTGATCATATATTACCTTCCTTTTTGCACCATCTTATTGGTTCTTTAGCAGCTTATGTGTACTACTTTTTGATCTAGGTGCCCCTGCTAGGTGGAGCATTTTGTGCCTGCACATGGCATTTCTTTTACAACTCCGAGTCCCTTGAGGTAAGTAGATCAATTCTTATAGTATTTCCTTTAAGGTAAGAATTTCTACCATATGCCATGAATATTATGAGGTTAAAAATAAAAACAAAAATAATATATTATCAACTACCAATACTTTCCAGAAATTCAATGATAACCTCTCATAACTACTACATCCCCCAGGACTTAGTTCAAGTGACAAAGGTTGAGGGACTTGTGACTTAGGTCACAGGACTAAGCCTCATATTTAAGTGGAGAAGGATAGAGGGGCAAACCGATTGTCCTTGAGCTTGGAAGGATGCGGTTGGTCCTAAGATTTGGCCCCAGACGGATTTCTCTATTATAAAAACTACTTTCCAGCTCTTTGTTTCTATTTGTTTGCTTTAGCCTTAACTCATCCTGTCCTCGTATAGGGACATCTTTTAAGTGAACCTGAATTTAGACTATTGGTTACACACACCTTTGACAATTGATGTAATACGAAAGGTGATAAACTTGAAAACTAACCACCAACTAATCTGAAAGTAACTGTTTGGGGAAAAAAACAAATGGAAGCCACGGCTTAATGCTTCCAAGATTTTGTTGATTTGGCCTCCCACTTTCACTCATTTGATGGAATAGGAGAATATAATTCTTCTTTTCATAATTTAACCCGACTTCGGTATATTTACAAGAGCTGATTGTTCAAACCATAAGGCAATACACATGCAGCTTGTCCTTGTTTATATTCATTTTTTCCCATTTGAAAGATTTCCCAGTATTCTTACACAATTCTTATCTTGTTTTATGATTTTAATTGACATGCATTTGATGCATGAGTTTCAGGTATTAGTGGCTCTACAAGCAGCTTTGACAGTTCTTGGTAATGCAACAATGTGCATCGCTGCATTCCGTATATACAGATCACAGGAGCAATAAAGGAATTATTGATCTTTGAGTTTGGTTTACCTCCTCAAATTTCATCACTCGTCCGGTTTCCTTATCTACATGGTACTTCATTTGATTTCTTGCAGTCTTTCCTGATGTTTGCATTAAACAGAAACTTTGTTCATTGAAAATGCTAATTGATTTTGCAGAAGACGAAACATTATATGACGAACACTGTAACACATCGTACATAGTTGATACAAAGTATGTAGAATAAGACAGTGTCTATTCCATGGTAGGAAGTTAAAAGCTTTTAGCAAGAAAGCCAGTGTGGATAGAGCTGTCCCCGGAAGACAATTATTCTGCCTTTTTGGTGACTGGTGAGTTTGTCAAGAAACTTTCTTGACTTTAGCCTTTCTAGTTGCATTGATGTACATACTTTAAACAACTCCTTTTAGACATCTTAAGGTGGCAATTATTGACTTTCTAGGAACTGTTGTTGTCAAATATCATATCTGGAATCTTCAACACTCTTCTTCTTTATGTACTGTATTATTTTCTCATATTACCTTCTTTATGGCAAACTGCAACCTCTCTGCAGTTTGGTTGTATGAATACAACAGCATAGTGATTTGTCATTTGTCTCTGTTATTGGCCTCGATCCTCGAGTGTATGGCATTGCAAGACTATCAATCAACTATACCTCACTCACAAATTAATACGGTTTGGCTGTATGAATCCTCTGTATCTATCCCATTTTACATGTATATGGCACTTCGCACGTAGAAGTGACAATTCATATAGCCGACTTCCATCAGTTTGGGACTGAGGTGTAGTTGTTGTTACCCACTAATTTACAAATTCACAATATATGTGTCCCTATGTTGTGGAGGCAACTGGTCTTAAACCTTGCATTCTTTTAGAGTAGAGGTGAATATTAAAATGGTTGGGATTTTTATATAGAAAGCTTTTATGTAAGATAGAATCCTAAGCACAAGTTTAGGTCAATGCATAGGGAAGTGTCTGTACCTTTAATAATACCTTGAGGGCCAAAGTTAATTGAGTTATTTCAAATGCTATTATGATTTCACAGGCCATTTTGTTGACCTTGTACATAACTTTTTAGAGGCAAGTGTTACCTCTCTAAATACACACTAACAAGTTTGACTACTTGTTACATCCCTTAGCACCCAAAAAATTGATGTTAAACACCATAATATTACTAATTTTCTATAAAGTTTAAGTTTTGCCTACTGATAGTGTAAGAAATTTTCATATAGTCAGGTATATTTATATGATAAGATGTTATAATTTGTTACATTACACTGGCAGTGTAGGATAATAAAAAGAAAAAGCCTTTTGACCTGTTGAGCGAGAGCCCTTCCACACAGGCTATGGCCAACTGTAGTATCTGTTCGATCTCATGGCCAGACAATAATACTATTACGCTCATGAGTAGAATCTTAACGTAAGCCTATCTTTTGATGCATATAACTTAAATCATTTTCTATAAACGGTCTTTTCCTTCTTTTTGCTCTTCATGCTTCACAAATTAGTGTAACCCTACGAGTAGAGTATAGGGGCTAAGATGTACGCAATCATCCCCCTCCCCTTATGGTATAGAGAGTTTGTTTTCGATTGATCCTTGACACTCATCCTCCCTTATTCGGGTTTGAAACAGACATTGATAAATTATTATTTTTGATATCTTTCATAAAAGTGGAGTTTTGTAGTAAATTAAAGGAAGGATTACTTAAATTAAATAAACCTAATGTTGCCATAGAGAAGAGACAGTCTCGAGCCAACAGCCTAGACTTTTGAAAAAGTGTTTTTATCTTTCTTATGATTTTAGTTAAAACCCCTCACGTGTTGAGAACCTTCAAACAACTCCCTTTCTTGGGAAAAAGAAAAAAAGGTTGTTTTTGTTTGGAATTATGTAATAATACATTATCCTAAAGTACATTTTTATGGGGTCTAAACCAAGACTAATCTCCTATTTTTACTGTTAATTACTTTGCTTGTTAGAGCATTTCTTCCCCATCTTTTTATGTACTCAAATGAGTAAATTAGCATCCACATGACTAGTTGTGACATCCCCGATAAAAGGTGGATTTGGCATAACTGACAGACTTTTAGTTGACAAGCTTCTGAAGATGAGGTGTACATGACACCTTTCGCGAATTTCACATCAAAATGTGAGAGATAATAATTAAAGAATTTTATAATGAATAATACGCATGTTTTTAAGACGCGTAAAGACAAATTTGTAATGGCCAAAACTCAAAGCCTATAATATGTACAATGAGCTTGAGTTGTAACATATACGCATTTAAATTAGTATTGTGAATGAGCAACAACTAAACTAGTCAGCAAAAAAGCAACAACTAATTAAGATAGTTAGCAATATTGGCCATTATTTCACGAATATGTTGACTTTCTTTCATTTTTCCTTTTTAATTTGAGACGTTGCTTATTCATAGTGCTCACATCTCTCGCCTATATATCGGGAAAATGTCTAAATAAGACTTCAACATCAACATTGTTTCCAAATTCCCTATAATGTCTATGAATATATCCACAAATTGCAATTCAATTTCCACTAATTAATAATTAATTAAGGTTTAAACCCTACCAACACTTCATTTTTGTTACTTCCCAAAAACATTTGAGATGAAAAAGTTTATCCTAATTCTTTTTTTTTTTAGCATCTAAAGGACCAAACACACATGCTAGCTATATTATAAAGTTTGTCAGATTTAGAAGTTTCACATATTCATCTGCTGCTACTTGGATTTGATGTACTATTGAAAAGGAGAAAAAATAATACTCCCTCCGTTTCACAAAAGATGACCTCCTTTCCTTTTTAGTCCGTTTAAAAAAGAATGACCTCTTTCCTTTTTTGGTAACATTTTACTTTTGCTTTCCACGTGGCATGTTTAAGACCACAAGATTAAGGGCAATTTTGTACATTTGACATAACTTTAATTTAGGATCACAAGATTCAAAAGTCTTCTTTATTTACTTAAACTTCGTGCCAAGTCAAACCAGGTCATTCTTTGTGAAACGGAGGGAGTAGTTACTTTTTCCATGGAAACAGCACAACAAAGTACATCCAAATCAAGAGGACCAAGCATTCTTTTTATTGCGGTTCGAGCCTTGGGTATGGAGTCGTTTTTAATAGAAAATGTCTTTATCTCTAACGTGAATCCAAATTAGTCGACCACAAAACAAATAAGGCATAAATTTTGATATAAGTCAAATATATTTAATATTCAATTAATTAAACTGTGTATTTTTTTCGTCTCTTCATATGGAAAATATGTTAAATTTGAATTATTTTTAAAACTATATTGACATAACACATCAATATCTATTCATGAATATTCACAAATTATAGATTTAATATGCTTAATCAGATAAGACAAGGATTGAAATTAAAATTTACTGATAAAGGACCAAATTAGCCCTTATAACAATGTAAAATGAAGTAATTTATGAAAATAACACAAGTAGCATTATAGCTTGAATAAGACATGTACACATACAAAATTAAATATATTATTTTGCATCCACACTTTTTTTCTCATAATAATTAATATAATAAAACAGTTATTTTGTCAATTTAGTAGTGGGTAGATGGGGGGTCTCTTTGGTAGAGACTCTATCAAACTTAGAAAATTTCTTTTGAAATTCAGTCATCAAAGCAATATTTTCTTCATGTAAAAGACTTGCTTTCTTTCTCAATTTCTCATTTTCCTGTAAAATACTCATATTTTCCATATAAAGCTTCAAATTTCTCATTTCCATATCCACCTTAGTTTCTTTTCCCTCACTTCTTTTCCTCCTGCAAAAAAACAATAATAAAATATACTTTAACATGGTATCAGAATATACAAGAGATTATATAGTACTTTAACATGATGTCTGAACAAACAAGAGATTTCATATTCGAATCTCAATGTGACGACCAAACGAATTAGGTTCATATTGAGGGAGCTGAGATATGATATAATTAACTACTAGTCCTAATTAAGAAAAACATATACTTCCTCTTATAATTTAAGCTTTTAAATGTGACGATTGTTTTGTACTATAAAATTTGTATTTACCTTGCAAGCCTATGAAGTTGAACTCGAGAGATCTTTGGTCTTTGTTTTTTCTGCATAGAAAAATAAAGAGGACGTGATGAATTATTACTCCATTCTGTTGAACTTATACACATTTTGTTTTCTTGTGAAGAAGAGAGAAATATTGGTGAAATTTGGTATATGATAGAAATTTGAAGTGGAAGTAATATGAAGGGTGGTGAGATCCTATAAATAGGTGGAATTGTAGTTTTCAATATGTGTAATAAGCATTATTTCCCCATGTGGTGCCCTGCCTATTTTTCGTACTCTGATTCAATTTTTTAATAATAATAATAATATATTTTTAACTTTAAATTGCTTATTACGTTAATTGAAATGATTTATATTTAATAAATATTTTTGAATTATTTTAAATTATAAGTTTCAAAAGCCTTTTATTCTTGATTAAATTTTTATTAAATTAAATTATGTCACATAAATTGAAACGACGGGAGTAACTAATTAGGGAAAGGAAAAAAAGGAGAGAGAGAGTAAGGGCTAATAATATAATTTTTCAAGTATAGTAATGATGACTAGGGTACTAATGATTACAAATAGCAGCAACCCATCTATTTCCATGAAGAAAAAGCCTTAGAAGAGGGATATGTTTCTCTTACTTATTAATAACTCCGAGGTGATTTAGTGGTCAATAAAATGAAATCGAATAGTTTTAACTTTTAAGTATGTGATTTATATAAAATTACTTGATATCGATCTATACAAGTATGAAGTAAAAGATATTTATATGAAATTAATCAATATACGTATAAGTTAATCCGATAGTTATGTATGATTTATGAAGAGCATCTATGGACAATATATAATTTCTCATCAAAGAAATTTCTGTATTTGTCATGTTCAGGTTAATTGAGAAATATATATACCAATGTTTTTTTTCCCATGTAAATATACCAATGTTCACCTACTATTCCTATTACTTATTCACTATTCACCTACATATCCATGCTTATGAATGCACATTACTCTTGGTCCAACCTGAGGTAATTTAAAATGTTATTATCTGATATTCAAAATTTATTAGTCCGATTAATTTAGATACGCATCATATATGATCTATTTAAAGGAAAAGTGTTCTTAAGTTATTTAAAGTTTCTTTACTCTTGTAACTAGTTCAGACTTCATATGTTAAGTTAGAAGTGAACAAATCTTGTTCATCTCACTCAACATATCGTTAACTTATTTGAATTAGTATGTAGATACAAGAATGTGCAAATTAAATGTGCAGGAATTTCATCCATTCCACTTATATTTAGAGACTCGAACTAGCATATCACATTTATTTTGTTTAAAAAAAAATCTCTTTTATTTTTGACTTTTTTTTTAATTTTAACTTTTTGCATAACATGTTTAAAATCACATTATCAAATTAAAACTAGACAAACAAATTAAAAAGTGAATGACATTTATTATTTTTCATACAATAAAGATTAGCAACATAGACATTTTGTCTCTTGTTGAGAACATTTATATATGTCAGCATAATTAAATAAGATATGTATAGTT